ACAATACCACCATCTATACACACACAGTCCCAACTACAATACCACCATCTATACACACACAGTCCCAACTACAATACCACCATCTATACACACATAATTCCAATTACAATACCACCAGTTATACACACATAAATCCAACTACAATACCATTAGTTATACACACATAATTCCAACTACAATATCACCAGTTATACACACATAATTCCAATTACAATACCACCAGTTATACACACACAGTTCCAACTACAATACCACTAGTTATACACACATAATTCCAACTACAATATCACCAGTTATATACACATAATTCCAATTACAATACCACCAGTTATACACACATAATTCCAACTACAATACCACTAGTTATACACACATAATTCCAACTACAATATCACCAGTTATACACACATAATTCCAATTACAATACCACCAATTATACACACACACTTCCAACTACAATACCACTAGTTATACACACATAATTCCAACTACAATATCACCAGTTATATACACATAATTCCAATTACAATACCACCAGTTATACACACATAATTCCAACTACAATACCACTAGCTGTACACACACACACAGTTCCAACTGTGACACCACCATCAATAGAAACAAATACAATATTACTGTATAGATTTAGTACTAACTGTATGTTATACTCGACATTACATAACAAAAAATATGTTCAGTACAGAAATAGTATAGAATGTATTATAGATTTATATTTTTAACGTTTATTTTAAGTTTGAATTACATTCTGTATGCATTTTTAACGATAATGTTTCTCTCAGTTCAGAATAAACTCATCGGACGTAACATAAAACCCTGCAGTGAGATAGAATAGATAATTCTTTTCTAGAGGCATACACAATTTTAATTTCCGTTAGCTGCCTGGGAAAAAACAGCCTGTTTCAGTTCCATATAGTTCTATTACATCCTAAATATTCACAGCGGACGTGTTTGTAAGTGGTTGGGTGGGGTCATCAGGCAAGCGTGTCTACGGACACAGGGATGCAACGAACTTTCTGCTCACTCAATACTCTGTTAGGTTGTCTGCACTCAATACCGGGTCAAGTACGTTTACAACCTTGACTAAAAAATCTGACGTATTCTGTAAACTAAGTTTAAAACTAACTCAAGAGTCTAATCTATTCTGTAAATTAAGTTTAAAACTCTAACTCAAGAGTCTAATCTATTCTGTAAACTAAGTTTAAAACTAACTCAAGAGTCTAATCTATTCTGTAAACTAAGTTTAAAACTAACTCAAGAGTCTAATCTATTCTGTGAACTAAGTTTAAAACTCTAATTCAAGAGTCTAATCTATTCTGTAAATTAAGTTTAAAACTCTAACTCAAGAGTCTTATCTATTTTGTGAACTAAGTTTAAAACTCTAACTCAAGAGTCTAATCTATTCTGTATACTAAGTTTAAAACTAACTCAAGAGTCTAATCTATTCTGTGAACTAAGTTTAAAACTCTAATTCAAGAGTCTAATCTATTCTGTAAATTAAGTTTAAAACTCTAACTCAAGAGTCTAATCTATTCTGTAAACTAAGTTTAAAACTAACTCAAGAGTCTAATCTATTCTGTAAATTAAGTTTAAAACTCTAACTCAAGAGTCTAATCTATTCTGTGAACTAAGTTTAAAACTCTAACTCAAGAGTCTAATCTATTCTGTAAACTAAGTTTAAACTAACTCAAGAGTCTAATCTACTCTGTAAACTAAGTTTAAAACTCTAACTCAAGAGTCTAATTTATTCTGTAAACTAAGTTTAAAACTCTGATGTGCTCTTTGAACTATTATTACTCAAACGCGATAGTCTGATGCACTTTATGAACTAGAAATGCTCTAACTCACTCGATAGTCTGTTATGCTCTATGAACTCGGATTACTTTAACTCGATAGTCTTATGTATTCGGTCTGCTAAGTTGTTTGAGCGAACTCGGAGTTCTCATTTACAATAATGACAGCTAAACTCTTGGCTCTAGTTTAATTCTCAGATGACTCTTTCAGTTCACTCGTTTACATTAGGTGAACACAGTGTCAACAAACTGTACACTAAAACAAATTTTGTCTCTGCTTTTGATACATATTCCTTCAACTAGATTTTAAGCTTAACATAAAGCTCTGGTTGAATTAGTCAGTTATTTCCTTCAAAAATAGAATATTGTCTATAATTTCAGCACAAGAGTTACAATTTATAATACCACTGCTAACTTAGGTTCACTCCGAACAGTACAAGATTTCAACAGCTATTACTGCTAACTCAGGTTCACTCAGAATAGTACAAGATTTCAACAGCTATTACTACTAACTC